GTGGTCCCTGGGCTTTGCTAAGCTTGTTCTAAGTAGGTGCTTTAGACCACTGAGCCATCTAACCAGACCAGCAAAAAAAAATTCTAATCTATCCAAAATTTCAAGCTACCCAAAATTAACTTTAAAAGTTATCTCAAATCAAACTGTTTCCTTTAGATTTAGTCCTTTAATATGGTATGTAAATATGTAAAAAGATGAGTTTTCTAAAATTATGAGGGATAAAAAGCAGTGTAAGGTCCTGTTTGTTTTTTCCGTAAGTTTTTTTCTCTTTATTTCCCTTATAACTCCTAAGGGAGTTTACTTCTTTATAAATTTAACTGTTTTGGAGACATTACAATGAGAATATGTTGGTTTTTTGCTTCCAAGTGAACACATAAATGAAAAACTGCTTGGAACTCTCAGCAGATGCTTACATATCCATTTATAGAGATCATACTCAGTGGATATTGCTAGATTCCAAGTAGTCTACTGTGGAGTGATGCCCTACCCTCATTTGAGTACTATAAAAGAAATACAATGTATTCACACATCTGGAAAAACTATTAATTAGGATTAGATTCAACTGCATACAACAGAAAAATGTAAATTTTCAGTTACAAAAATTTTTTTTTTTTATACTGGGAATTGAACTTGAAACCTTGTGCTTGCCAGGCAGGTGCTGTCCCACCCCTGGGCCCATTGAGCCAGCCACCAAGACTGGCATGGTGGTGCACGCCTGTAATCCCAGTGCTGAGGAAGCTGAAAACAGGAGGATCGCTACAAGTCTGAGCTGTGTAGTGAAACCCTATTCCAAATACATAAATTAAAAAAAAAATATGGGGCTGGTCCTAAAGTCTTAAAGAAAAATTAGAATCCTAGCAATCAAGAAATCACTGGGAGAGATTAGTAGGTAGTCAGAGATGCTAGTGTTTCAAAGAAGCACAGTTGGACATTTAGTATATTTAGAAGTTAAATGGAGAAGAAGAAGATTGACTCATTTCTTGTGATTTCATAAGTCAAAAGATTAAAGAAAGATCTTTCCCCTCTTTGAGAGGTGTACAGAGGAAAAGCATTCAATATGAAGGAGAGTACTAAAAGGCATCTAGGTAGAGAAAGGGTGAAGCTAGCTATAGATTAGCATGAAGAATAGAGGGGATGTGTATGTGGGAGCATCTACTTAAGGAGCTAATTGTGGATCATAACGATGGAGACATTTGGTAGCAGCCTAAAGTGAAGAGGAGGAGGGGAGAGAAAGAAAAATGCTAGTATAGAATGCATGACAATATTAGATGACAGTATGTATGCTGCCGAAGCGAGCACATAGATGACTTAGATTAATTTAAATTTGTAAGAAAATTCTCAATATATTTGTAACAAGTTTTATATTTCCTATTTGTGTTATCTGTTGTGATTTGGCTGGGATCTTGCTGTACATTTGGCTGCATTCTGGGGCTGAAGCTGAAGGGGTAGTCTGGGAAAGAACACAGGGAAAAGGGAAAATATGGAACCACACGGTGGCCATGTGGTGGTGGCAGTGTTTCATTTTTGTTTTGTTTGCAGTGTGGGGCTCTCTTGGCTACTTTTCTTAATGTTGAAACATAGTGCCCAACCCTCAAAATGAAGAATAGGAAAGATTTCCTGGCTTCATAGTTTATAGAACTTTCAGTCCAGAGTTGGCTGGCTACAAGGCAGAAAGAGTTATGGAAGAGAGACATCACAGGAAAAAAGAGTCATAGCAGGCAGATGGCAGAAGGCAGCAAATAACAGGCAGGAAGCTTTGGAGTGACATCTAGATAAAAGCCATGACAGGGTGCTAGAACCAAACCCGGGCCTTTACATGCTGAGCAAGTGTTCTGTTACCAAACTATAGCCCTAGCGCTACACAGTATTTCTTAAATCCTCATATAAGTCTCTCTTTATCCATATTCCAATGACCTATAGTCTCATAAGGAAAAACCTTGTAAGGAGGAGCAGTAAATGTATTAGAACAAATAATGGGATAACAAGGGTTAATATACTCTGAGAAAGTGCTGGTGTAGGGTACTTCTTGGTAATTAATACAGCAGCCTTGTCTTTGAGCAGCACAGATATAAGTGAATTGGCCACGCTAACTCTCAACCTCTGTTCAGGCTGCTGCTAATGTTGATGATAGGTTATGTTCAGAGAAGTGAGTTTATGTGAAAGCAAATGCAGAGAAATTTATTTATAATTCATTACTTAAATTACGATGTTTATTATTTCCCTACTTTTATACCCAGTATGTTATCCTAGGGTGAGACGGATTACTGTTATTTTTCAAACCCAAAGTTTAGTTTAATAGGGAGCTCTCAGGAGTGAGCTGCTTCATTTGTCTCCTTCAGATAACAGTAACCAAAGCCTCTAACCTAGTTCTTTGCACATAAGTGAATTCCTTTGTTAGTTGACTGTATAAATGAAGATGTGGCTGTAGTCTTCATTGTGTTTATCATTAAGGCTTGTGTCTGACAGAATGATGTGTCATTTAGATAAATATATGTTTAAGGACATGAAGTGTCTAGGCTAAAGAATTAAAAATATGTATCATCTAGGGTAAAGTTCTAGGTTATCCTTTGATGGTCTAAGCCCATTTTGGCTGTGTTGTATTTATGCCAAGTGTTAGACTTTTAGTTTGACTTCCTCAGATTCCTTCATGTGTTGCACAGGTAGTGAAAAGCAAACAGTACAAACTGTATGTGACACAAGAATTGAAGGAGAGAGCTAGACTAAACAGGAAAGGAGAGTGAGAAAAGGAATAAAGAATAAAGTCAAAGTAGCAGACAAAAAGATTTGAGTAAGGTAAAGACACAGTTTCAGGAAATAGCATGGTTAGTGCAAGTACTTTTTCTCTAATGTCTTGCCATGGCTGCATATTGCTAGGCATATGTTTTAAATTAGCTCTCTAGATTGACAGTACCTTTTTTTGGCCTAACTTAGGTGTATACTCTTAATGTACCAGATGCATTCTATTACTGCTATAGTCCCGTTCCTGGGAGTGCCAGCGGAAAAGATGCTATCATGGAGGCAATGGCCGAGCAGATAGTTACGGTGTGTGCTACTTTGGATGAAAATCCTGGAGTGAGGTATAAAAGGTAAGACGCACTAGTGCATCTAGTATGCAGGCAGCAGTATCACTGTGCTTTTTGGTATTGATTTGTGAAGTACACTTTCCTCATACCATCACATTGCTCTCTATATAGGAGACTTAAAATTAAGGCTTAAATTTCAGATTAACTAAATGCTTCTGTTACTGAATTTCAGAGCTTAAATGTTATACCATTCACATAGTCTTTTTAAGGAATGCTTAGAGGAACTGTATCTGTTACATAGGGAATACAATCTTGCACTCATTGGTTTTTCATTAAATTCCCATCAACTTTAAATTATCTGCATACCTCTTATAGGGTCTTAAATATCTAGGGCCATTCTTTTTTTTTTTTAAAGACAGGATCTTGGTGTGTATATTAGACTGACTTGAACTCACCATGTAGCCCTTGCTGGCCTCCAACTTTGGCCATCTTGCCTCACCCTCCCCAAGTGCTGGAATTACAAGTGTATACACCATGTCCAGCCGTTCAATGGCCATTTTTACTAAATTTTAGGGGTTTTTTTTACACTTGATCTTAGCCAAAAGACTGAAAAGCAATAGTTGTTTTTTTGTTTGTTTGTTTGTTTGTTTGTTTGTTTTTAAAGTATAGTTTGGTACCCACACGATAGCTCAGCAGACTAGGCCCCTGCTTAGGCAAGCATAGGGAGGGACCAGGGTTTGATCCCCGGCACCACATGCCATGTTGGCCCCACCCCCAGGCATGCTGAACTGGCCACCAAGACCAGGCGTGGTAATCCTAGTGCTAGGAGGCTGAGACAGGAAGATCACTATGAATCTGAGCAGTGTAGTGAGACCCTATACCAAATACATTTTTAGGGCCGGGGAGATGGCTCAGTGGAATAAGTGCTTACCGGGCAAGCGCAAGGGCCTGAGTTCAATCCCCGGTTCCGCCAAAAAAAAAAAAAAAAAAAAAAAATACATTTTTAAAAAAGTAGTTTGACTTTCATACTACATACCTTCATTTATTTGCTTGTTCTGTAAAATTCACTAATTATCGTATATGGTTTAGTAGTTTCTTCCAAAATAAATACACATGCAACCCAACCAGGATAAAAAAAAAAAAAAATGAGACTTAGCAGCATCTTTTCAGCCGCTTGAACACTGAGAGTCCATCTCACCCCAGAAGGGATGGCTGTCATCAGGGATAAGAGAGCAGGTGCTGATGAAACCATGGGCGAGTACGTTGTTGGTGGCAGTGTCAGCTAATGTAACCACTATGGAACTGGGATGGAGAGTCCTCAGAAACTAGAAATGCCATTTGACCCAACTACTTGCCTTCTAGGTGTCTCCTCAAAAGAGTTAAAGCCATCGTGGTACACCGATATGTGCACACCCACGTTTATAGCAGCCACAGTTCATAGTAGCTAAATCTCAGAAGCAGCCTGTTTGTCCACTGTCAGATGAATGACTAAATAAAATACGGTTTTTACTCACAGTGGAGTACTACTCTGCCATAAAGACTAAGTTTCAGTCATTTTTAGGAAAAGGAATGCATCTTGAAACCATAATTTAAGTGAAATACATCAGACACATCAGTTTAAATATCACACTGTGCATCTTATTTGAGAAACCCAGAATACAAGTGAAGAGCCAAATATAAGACAAATTGCAGTAAGTAGGAAGCTAAATCTTTTTCAGGGGGACATGGACCACGAGTTGGAAGGAAGGGAGGAAGGAAAAGGGGGATGAGAAAAGAGTTCAGATGTGTGATATCCGTCCAGGCACCAGCACCCCATGAGGGAGGTACTACTAATAAGGAAGAAAAGGAAAAGAAAAGCTACAGACCAGTCCTAGTGATGCCTTCATACCCATTCATAGCGCAGCTCATCACAGCTACATCTTGGAAGCGGCCTGTGTTCCTCAACAGATGAATGGGTACCGCAGATGGATTTGTATCGCATGGGGTTTTATTCTGCCATTAAAGAAGGATACATTTCTTCTGCAGTGAAGTGAATGCACCTTGGGACCATAGTGTTAAATGAAATGAATCAGACACACAAGCCTAAATGTCACATGCTTTCTCTAATATGAGAAACCCAAAGTAGAAATAAAGAACAAAATAAAACACAGAGTAGGAAACAGGAAGATACTTTGCAAAAGGGAAGAGAACCGAGTTGGGGGGGGGAGAGATGAATAATTAAGATAGGTTAGTACGTGAACCTGTTCCCTGTGTAATCACTATGTATTGTAAATATGTACTGATACACATTAAAGTTTATTTTAAATTTTATTTTATAAATGTTGTGGTTTAGCCTTAGAATTCAACATCATGATGTTGAAAGATAATTGTGTAAATTTCCCATTTTTAGTAAGCCTCTAGATAATGCCAGTAAGCTCGCACAGCTGGTTGAAAAAAAACTTGAAGACTACTACAAGACTGATGAAAAGAGCCTAATAAAGGTAATAAATAAAAGGCAAATAATAGCTAAACATAATGTCTGTATTACCTCTTTATAAGCCAAAGCAATTTGATTCATTTTTTAGCATTGATAGGGGAATCATTAATGAACCTCCAATACTGATTTGAGAACTATTAGTATAGACATTACTGAAAACCTTAGTGGACGTGATAGTCTGGAGAGGAAGACACAAGCGTCAGTGTCTGTGTCTTAGCTCTGCCATGTAATGCATAGTTGGGTCAATTTGGACAAATTATATACATTATACCTAATTTTTCTTTTCTGTAAATTAGGAATAGTAAAGGAATACCAATTTTATAAAGTTAATATTTACAAAGGCCTTAGAATAATCCTTTCCACTGAGTTAATATTTACTAAATGTTGGACTTTCTGCTGTTACTAGCTTCGACCTTGGGATTTTTTTAACCTATAAACATAGATGAAATCGTAAGTACCTTTATATAGGAGTTTAATAAATGACGGCTGTTGTTACCATGGTGTAAAGCAATATAACGTACTTGGAGACTAAGGTCAGATGGTGAATGCCTGCTTGTGGGTGTGGCTGGAGAACAGAGCCCAAGGGCGCTGATAGAGGTGCCAGGGCCCGGGGAAGCCATGCTGCAACAGCTGGAGAAAAAAAGGAGGAAACCAAACCGCCCACAGTCTAGAAGAAGCAGCCACCAACTGCAGTCCCACATAAGTGCAGTGAGAAAATATATTCAGTATAGGGAGAATATAAGCTGGAGCTTGGAAGGCACCCTGGAGGAAAATGCCTTGAGCTTCAAGAATTGTTAGCACACAGAGCTCGCTTCAGCAGCACACACACTAAAGTTAGAAGGATGCGGAGATCAGCGTGGCCCATGCAATCAAATACACAAGCTTAAGTATCATGTGGTGTTTCTTAAGAAGCCCAAAGTATAGAGAGCAAAATAAAGGATGGATAATAGGAATCGGGAAGATAATCTTTTGCAAATGGAAAAGCGGTCTAGAGATGAAGGGAGAGAGGGAAGAAGTAGCTGTCTCCCTGGCTAATTTTTCATTTTAATTTATATTATTATGATCTTTTAAAATAGCATAGATTAAAAACAAGTATTCAAGTAAAGCAGATGGGTTTAAAATTCAGTGCTACCACTTACTACCTGTGTGACTGGGCACATTACTTAATTTAAGCCTGAATGCCCTCAGTATCAAATATAATTCCTGCCTCACAGGATTGCTGTAGGAAGATATTAAATGAAGTTTTATATATATGTATTTCTTGTATAGCAAAAAAAAAATTATTTATTTGGTACAGGGTCTCACTATGCAGCTTGGACTCACAGTGATCCTCCTATCTCGGTGCTGGGATTACAGGTGTGTGCCACCACGCCAGTTTTCAGGGCCAGCATGGCACGCCTGGGGCTTGGGCCTGGCGTGGCATGCAGTACCAGAGATCAAACTCAGGCTCTTATGCTGCTTATCAAAGCACCAAGCTCTCTCCCCAACCCGCACAATACTTGATTACATTGATACATTCATGACCATGTTTATAGCAGCCACAACTCACAATAAATTCTGGAAGTAGCCTATATGTCTATCAATGAATGAATGAATAAAGTAATTATTATATATGTGAACACACACTGGGGAGTACTGCTCTGTCATAAAGAAACATAAATTTGAGTTGTTTTTAAGGAAAATGGAGATACCTTGAGACCATAATGTTTAGTGAAATAAGTCAGATGCACAACCTAAATATCCCATCGTTCATTTTATATGAGAAACCTGATTAAGCCAGGTAAGAAACCCAATTAAGCTAGGATTACACACCTGTAATCCTAGAACTTGGGAAGCTGAGGCAGGAGGATTGCTGTGACTTAGAGGCCAGCCTGGGCTACAGTGTGAGCTCAAGGCCAGTCTGATCCTTATAGTGGAACCCTCTCTCAAAAGACATAAATAAATCCCAATTATAAATTAAGAGCAAAACGAAAAATAATAGGAAGTAGAGATCTTTCTCATGTGGTAGAAGATCAAAAGATGGAAGGGAGAGAGGAAATGAAAACAGGAATTAAGATGTGCTACATGGACCCACTCCATGGATCTACATCATGGACCATCAGGAATGTAACCATTATGTACTGCAGATACTAATAAAGTTTTCAATGTCTAATGTAGAGGGCTCAAGTGGTACCTACTGTTTATAGCTTATATCAATTTTAGTGTTAATGGAGCTGAATTCGTAACAAAATAGGCTTAGCACAAGTCAAGTGTTACTTTTTAAAAGGAGAACTTGAGAATACTATTATTAATTATGGCCTCTTAATCTAATTATGAGTGCTTTTAGTTGTATAGTCTTGGTTTTTGCCTTGGTGTACCATTCAGATTTTCCTGTTTTAACAGCTTAACACTGTTAAGGAAATTAACCATTTGTTCTGTTTGTTTTGTTGTGGTTTTGGTGGGGGAAGAGATAAGAATTTAAGAAAAATCTGCTTTTCTAAGATACCATACATGTAAAGAAATTGAAGTTTCTTAAGATAATTTTTTCCTTGTTACTCTAGGGTAAAACTCAGTCCCAGCTCTTAATAATCGATCGTGGCTTTGATCCTGTGTCCACCGTCCTACATGAACTGACCTTTCAGGCAATGGCATATGATCTGCTACCAATTGAGAATGACACATACAAGCAAGTATAATTTGAGGGATATATAAAGGGACTGTACAAACAGGATGATATTTATTAGGAGCATTTAATGGCTTGTGTATAAATCATAAAATCATAAAAGAAATGTACCTTTTTTTCATTCAGAGGTTTTATCCTTCTCTTCTATAATTATTAAAGCAGTCATTGAGTCAGGCAGGGTGGTACAGTCCTGTAATCCTAGCGCTCTGGGTGATAAGGCAGGAAGACTTGCAAGTTCATACCCTGCCTAAGTTCTAGAGCTTGTCTGAATGTGTTTATCTCATTAAACAGAGCTACAGTTAAAAGGCAAAATTTGGACTTTTCACTTAAGAGTAAATACCAGGCCCCTCTGTTGTACTTTTTTTTACCATGCAACAAAATTTTTATTAACATTTTGAACAGGTTCAGCTATTATTGAAGCTGGTAATTTCTAAACTTAAATTGGGGCAAACAGCTATGGTGAAGAGCACTACCATAACTAAGACACTGAAGAACTAACAGCCACCCCTCAGACGGAGGACCAAGTGCAGAGTGGACTCTTTCTGGATGTTGTAGTCAGAAAGAGTGCGGCCATCTTCCAGCTGCTTGCCTGCGAAGATCAGCCTCTGCTGGTCAGGAGGGATGCCTTCTTTATCCTGGATCTTGGCCTTCACATTTTCAATGGTATCACTAGGCTCCACTTCCAGGGTGATGGTCTTGCCCGTCAGGGTCTTCACGAAGATCTGCATCCCACCTCTCAGGTGTAGGACCAGGTGCAGAGTGGACTCTTTCTGGATGTTGTAGTCAGAAAGAGTACGGCCGTCTTCCAGCTGCTTGCCCGCAAAGATGAGCCTCTGCTGGTCAGGAGGGATGCCTTCTTTTGTACTTTTTTTTAAAAAAAATTTTATTTATTATGTGGGGGGGGTGCTCAGCCCACCAGGGGGCGGGGCTGGCTGGCATGTGGTGCTGGGGGATTGAACCGCAGTCCCTGTGCTTTGCTAAGCTTGTTCTAAGTAGGTGCGTTAGACCACTGAGCCATCTCACCAGCACCCCTCTGTTGTACTTTTGAAATGGCAGCCATATTCAAAATTGCTAAATTGTAATTCTTTTTTTTTTTTTCCTCAGTAAGGGGGAATTGAACTCAGAACCCTGCGCTTGCCAGGCAAGCTCTTATTCTACTGAGCTAGCTCCCCAGCCCCCTGTAATTATTCTTAATCATACACCCAAAGGTATCTCGTCAGTGTAATCAGTTGTTAAAGTTCATGATACTAGACAGCAAAGTAGGACGGCTATGAGAGTAGCTAGAATTTAGTTAGCCTGGTGTAGTAGCACCTGCCTTGCGAAGCTGAGGCTGGACGACTGCAGGTTTAAACCCAGCCTGGGCAGCTTAGCGACCTAGTGAGACAACGTCTTGACAGCCTAAAAAAGGCCTGGAGATAACAGCTCTGGGCCAAGGCCCTGAGGTCAGCCCCTCGTACCACACACATATGCACAAGAACAGGTGCAGTTCTACCATTTTGGTACTTACTGATTTACTCTTGATATAAATATATGTGCTTTAGAGCTAATGTGAAATAAAAAGCTAAATGAAAGACTGAAACAGCTTTTCTGTAAAAGAACCAATTTATCAGGTCCCACTGTGGCCCTTAAGAAGAAGAACCATTTTATTTTGTGTATCATTTGTGGATATATATGTGTATATATATTAAATGTTTTTTAATATCATAATCACTAAATCCAAATTGACATTTTTCAGAAAGCTAAAATGTATTGCTTAGACACATTAGTAAAACTGAAAATTAATTTCTGAAAGTTCATGTTTAATTATACTCAATTTAATAGTTCTCAAAAATATACTACTTCTGATATCATAATTAATATTTCTTGAACCAGATATTTCTAAAATGATTTTGCGTATTGCATTTTTATTTACACTTTATATCCTGATTTCTGAGTTATTCTTTATATTTCTGTTAGTTAACATAGAGCCATCAATATTGCTGTTTTTCTAATGTAAAAGTTGTGTTAAGCATTGCATTTAGAAAGGAACAATGAGCTTCATCTCTGTCATCCTTTCAATGTATAAACCTGCACCACTCAAGATGTAGAAAAAAATAAACTGCTGGACAATGAAGAATTTTGCTCTAGACTATAGATGAAAGTTTTAGGCATTTCTGACCTAGAGTTTTTTAAAAAATGTATTTCCTTAGGCTTGTTGGCAAACAAAGCAAGGTTTAATTTTTTTTTTGAATGAGAGACTTACTAAAAATTAAATTAACCATACTTTTTCCTTTAATTAAAAAAATTCAGAGATAAAACTTAGAAGCACAAGTTCCCTAAACTCCCCGTCCTCTAGCACAGTTTTTCAGTATGAGGTGATTTATTACTAAAAATAAAGAATTTCAATTATTTTTATGTTGCTGAAGTTAAAAGTCATTTTTTTTTTCTGTCTTGGTACAAGGTCTCACTCCCCAGCTGAGACTCGTAGTGATCCTCCTGTTTTCAGCCTCTCTAGTGCTGGGATTACAGGCATGGACCACCACGCCTGGACTCGGTCACCACGGCATGTGGTGCCAGGGATCGAACTCCGGTCCTTACGCTTGCCTGAGCAGGTGCTTAGTCGGCTGAACTATCTCTCTTGTCCTTTTCTGTCTTTTGGAGACAGTTTCACTCTGCAGTTCAGTACTCACCTTGGACTGTCCTTGGACTCACCTTGTAGCCCGGGCTGACCTTGAACTCTCAGCATGTGAGCCACCATGTCTGGCTCTAAAGGTTAATTCTTTTTTTTGGTGGAACCGGGAATTGAACTCAGGCCCTTGCACTTGCCAGGGAAGTGCTTATTCCACTGAGCCATCTCCCCAGCCCTAAAGGTTAATTCTTGATGTTTTCCTCTTAACATGTTAGCACCAGCATGATGTAACTGGAGTGACTGTCCCACTGGGAGGCTTATACCACCTGATGGGACAGTCATGCACATAGCACCAGTGGTTTAGAGCCTCTCAGCAGTGAGACATACAAATTACAGCCTGTGGTGAATGTGTTAATCCTTCTGGTATTTGGACCTTTTCTCTGTTTTAATGTTCTCAGGAACACATCCACTCTTGAGGTTTATCTGCACTTGACTCTCAAACATATGTGTATTGTGAACCTTCTTGAATTTCAAATTCATATCAACTATCTACTGGATATATCCACTTGGAATGTCTAAAGAATGTTGTCAACTTGTATTTCCAACCCTGAGGTCTATTGTCCTTTGAACTGCTCCAATTAGTCTTCTCCATCTTAGTCAATAGCAGCTGCAGACCTACAGTTTATTCAGACCCAAAATTTTGGTCGTCTCCCTCCTGTTTTATAGTCAAGTCCAAAAGCATTGGATTCATTCCTTTGTAGATGTATTTTCAAAATATAACCACAGACCAGAATAATCTGAGTTAGTATAATTTTTCATCTGGTTTATTGCAACAGTTTTCTAGCTGATCTCTAGTGCTTCTTCACTCCTTGGGAACTATTCAGTCTCTCAGCATAGCAAAAAAAATAAAGTATTGGTAAGATCAGGTCAGTTGGAATCATTTTGCTTTTTCAGAATTACTGGCTTTTTCTTCAGTTTCTTTTTCAGAATTATTGATTGTAAGAATGTTTCTTGCAGTTTTGGGGAAAGAAATCCAAAAGACTTATGCATCTGTCTACTTGTAGGTATAAAGCAGATGGGAAGGAAAAGGAGGCAATCCTTGAGGAAGATGATGACCTCTGGGTCAGGATCCGACACCGGCATATTGCAGTTGTGTTAGAGTATGTGAGACCTTCTTAATTTTTATTCCGTATTTTTGAAGTACTAAGTGTTATATGTTATAATCTTGGAATAGTTTTTTAAAAAGAATTACACTGAAAGAATTCTTTCACAATTTGACAGAGAAATTCCAAAGCTTATGAAGGAAATTTCATCAACAAAGAAAGCAACAGAAGGAAAGGTGAGAGTCTTACTTAATTTTCAAAATAATGTAAAGGTGAATTTTAAAATTGTTGCCTATTTTTATTCTTTTAACTTTCCATTGTGGAAACATTCTTAACATTCACAGAAGTAAGTAAATTTCCAGGTACCCATTATCTCATTGCAAAAATTAGAAACATTTTGTCAGTTTTGCTTCCTTAATTTTTTTTAGAAAGACCTTTTAGTCTTTTAAAAACACTTTTCACCAATGTATTGTTGGGATTTTTTTATATTTACGTAAGTAAAGCACATCTGAAATGTATGCTGGGTAGCTTTTTCTTATTTATGCACTTCTGGGACATCCAACTAAACCAAGATGTAGACTATTTCCATCATTCCAGGTTTCTTCTTATCCTTTCCCAGGCAGTGCCCTCCTTCCAGAAGTGAACTCTGTTCTGATATCTATCCTCATATATTGCTTCTGCTTGTAGATGAATTTTGTATAAATCAAATCTTATGCTATGTGCTTGCCTTTCACTCAACATGGGAATTTTTGAATTTCGCTAATGTCACATATTCAGTAGGCTTTTTTTGGTTTCATTTTCATGTAGTAGTAATATGTGTTACCTAACAACAGGATATGTTTTGATGTACAGTGAGAAGAGTATACATTTATTGCTATATAAACACCCAGTTATTTGGAACTATTTATTGAAAAAAGCATCCTTTCACCGCTGAGAAGAGGTGGTAATTTATTTGCTTTTAATCAGATAACCACAAATGCTTGGGTCTACTGGCTTTCTGTTTCTGATCACTTTGTCAATTTTCATGTCAAACTGTCTTTTTGAGATAAGTCTTGCTATGTAGTTCAGACCAGCCTTGAACGCGCTTTGTAGCCCAGGCGTTGGTCCCGCTACCCTGACCTGAGTGCCACCACATCCAGCTACCACACTGTCTTTTAATTAGTATACTTTATGTTTTGAGATTTGTCAGCATAATTTCTCCAACTTTGTTCTTTGTCTTTACTCTTTTATGAAGTTTGCAGCTCTATGTAAATTTTAGATTTTGCTTAACTGTGCACAAAAAACATTTCAATAAAATTTTTATTAAGATTACATTAATTTGTGTATCAGTTTGGGAAGAACTGACAAAAATATTGAGTGCACTGATTCACTAACAAAGAATAGCTCCATTCATACAGGACTTCTTTAATCTGTCTCATTGTTTTATGATTTTCACTTGAGGTTTTGTGCTTTTTATTTATTAGTGGGGTTTTTGTGGGTATTGTAAATATTGAAATTCTGTTCTGTTTTGTCATTAGTATGTAAAAGATGAATGATTTTGTATATTGATCTTGGATCCAGTGACCTTGTTTAATTTCTAATATGTTTATATTTATAGATTGACTTTTTATATACACAGTAATATCATCTGTGAATAATGAAAATGTACACCCTCCCTTTCCACATTTATCTTGTACTCTTTTTTTAGTAATTAATATTTCTATCTCTAGCTAATACCTACAGTGTAAAGTGCAGTAAAGCTGGTGTTTAATATTTCATCAAGTATTATGTCAGTTTTAGGTTATCTTAATTATACTCTTTATAAAATTAAGAAAGGTTCTTCTAATTTTTGTTTGCCAACAGGTTTTTTTTTTTATTTGTTTGTTTTGTATTTTAGGGAAGGGTCTACAGGGTGTTCAGGGTCTCACTACTAGATTGGCTTTATAATGATCTGCCTGTTTGCAGCCTCCCAAGAGCTGGGATTGCAGGTGTGCACCACCACACCCAGTCTCAATTGCCATCTCAGTGCACCCTGGGGGTGGGGCCAGCACAGCAGGCCCAGGATCAAACCCCTGGCCACTGCACCTGCTTGCAGGCGCTTTAATCCACTGAACTATTTGGCTGGCCCTGTCCAACAGGTTTTTAAATATTTTTGGTTTTGTTTTGTGGCGTGGGATTACATTTAAGGTTTTGTGCGTGCTAGGCAAGAACTGTATTACTAAGCTGTCCTGCGCCCCGGCTTTTACTTTCTTTAATCAGAAAACTGGCTTGGATTTCATCAGATACTTTCTCAATGTGCTGCTTTTCCCCATTATTCCATTGCTGTTGTGAATTACGTACTTCCTGCTGATTTTCTGACATTAAATTATACCTTTCTAGTGGCTGGTGAGATGGCTCAGTGGTCTAAAGCACCTATTTGGAACAGGCTTGGCAAAACACAGGGACCGCGGTTCAATCCCCCAGCACCACATGCCAGCCCACCCTGCCCCCTGGTGGGCTGAGCTGGCCACACACACACACACACACACACACACACACACACATAAATAAAATTAAAAAAAAAATTATACCTTTCTAGAATAAACTATTTGGTCAGGATGTGTCATCCTTTCCTGTGTTGCTGGATTCTACTTGCAGATGTGTTGCTTAGGATGTTTGCTTCTGTGTCTATGAATAGTATTTCCTGTAACATTCCTTTTTTGTAGCATTCTTGTTGGGTTTTGGTAAGAAGATTATATTGGTTTTATGAAATGAGTTACAGTCCTCTCTCTTTGGTATTCTTCTCTGAAAGAATTGTGCAATAATGCTTCAACAAAGTCACCATTGGGCATGGAAGTCTGGGGATTTTTTTGGGTTTTTGGAGTTAGTTTGTCTGTTTTTTTCTGAGACAAGGTTTTGCTATGTAACTCAGGCTGGCCTTAAAGACCTTTCAGTTCCTCTTGTCTCAGCTTCCCTAACGCTGGGATTATAGGCATTTGTCACCATACCTAGCTGGAGTCATCTTTATATGAAGTCCTTAATTACAGTTTAAGTTCTGAGTAAGTACATAGCTATTTAGATTTTTTTCTTGTATCTGTTCTGGGATAATACATTTTTCAAGGTATTTATTATTATACTTAAATTTGAAATACCCTCCTATGCTGTCAGACCTGTAAAATCTGTAATTATGTTGTATATTAGTCTTCATGTTATTAATTTGTGTTCTCCCATGCCTTTAATTTATTTGGTTTTTTTGGTTTTATAATGTCCATTTATTTATTTTATTAATTTTATTGAGAAACAAATAGCAGTGAGTCAGTTTCAAAACCGATTAGTAGGACAGTTTCAGTAATTAATACATTGCATATTGTTGTCTTTGTAGTGGTTATTCATAGTACAAGATGCAGACATGATATCCTGTTCAAACACAATTAGTACAAATCCTTCTTCTCATTGAATTAAGAGAAAGTAGCTGTATATCTATCCTAACTATTTTGTATATACAGATACAAAATGATCCTTCGTTTATATCCCCTTTTTTGTTTAGTTTTGCCAGAGATGGGCATTCCATTGCCATTTATATATTGTAGGTATGTGAATTCAGCAAAATAATCCAATATAGTCCAGTAGTCCATAATAGTAGTGGGGTATCTGTAGGACTGGCAATGTCAGAAGTTGTTGACTTGAGCCTTTTATAGCTCAGCTTATTAATATTGCTTTACTTTTTATACCTCATAGTTACATTTTTCTGCTGGATGGTTAAGACCAAGATAAAGCAAGTCGTATATAACAAAAAATGTAACTTTTGTATCTGACAAGGTCAGTCAAATGCCCTCAGGATTTATCCTGAAACCCTGTACTGCAGTTTGTAGATCCTTTTTCAGTGTCAGCCATGGGGATGAGTCATGGCCATTGCTTGGCCAGTTTGCACTCTGTGAAAGCCCGAGAGAATGTTTTCTCTCCATGTGACTCTCCTTACGCACACTCTACATCGCTAATCACTTTGCTCTGTAGCCCCGTAAGCTCCTTGATCAGAAAATTTGGGGCCACAACTGAGCTATAGGATGTTACATTACAGGTTCCCCTATGTCCTGAGGCCTGAAAACCCATTAATCTGTTTGTTTTTTAGATGAGGCCTTGCGCTTGTTTTCCACCCTGGCCTCAGATCTGCAATCCTCCTGCCTCAGCCCCCGTAGCTGGGGCTGCAAGCCCGCATCACTCCAGCCACCCCACTCCCAGATCAGCAGTGTCCCGTACAAGGAAACAACTTCTAGCTTTGTTGATTTTTATCTGTTGTATGTTAGTTTTAAACTTAATTGATCTCTGCTTACCCTTATTTCCTTCCTTCATCTTTCTTTGGTATTTTTTTTCTAGGTCCTTGAATTGGGTGTTTTATAGCATTAATTTTTAACTTTCTTTTCTACTCTGTATATTTGATTTCCTTCCCAGTGTTAGCTACATCCCAGGAATTTTGGAATAACTTCTGTTCACTCAGCTCGAAACAGTTTCTAAGCCAGGTGTGGTGGTACACACCTGTAATCCCAGCACTCAGGAGGCTGATGCAGGAGGATCACTGTGAGTTAAGGCCAGTCTGGGTTACAAAGTGAGTTTAAGGCCAGCCTGAACCACATAGCAACATTTTGCCTCAAAAAGACAAAAAAAAAAAAAAAAAAAAAAAATTCTAATCTTCATTGTGATTTCTTCTTTGATACCTGTATTACATAGGTGTGTATTTATTTATTTATTTATTTATTTATTTTGCGGAAGCGGGGATTGAACTCAGGCCCTTGTACTCGCCAGGGAAGTGCTTATGCTACTGAGCCATCTCCCCAGCCCTGGTATATATTTTTAAATTTCACTGTATTTGGTAATTTTCTGTTATTGTATTATGTCTTAATTATAAATGGTCAGAGAATTACAGTGTAGGATTTCACTGCTTTGAGATTTGTTAAGATTTGATTTATGACCCAGCATATATTATATTGTGGTAAATGGCTTGTATGTTCTTGAAAAATAACACAGATTATTATGTTTTATTTATGTTGTTCTATTTATGGTTGTTTGTTTGTAGTACAGGGGATTGAACTCAGAACCCCGTGCTTGCCAGGCAGGCACTTATTCTACTGAGCTATCTCCCCAGCCCCTGTATTTATGTTTTAATCATGTTGTTTAATCAGCTCTTCTATTTTTAAAATTTTTATTTAATACATATTTGGACATATTTGTGGAGTATAATTCAGTACACACGTACAGTATCTAATATTAAACCAGAATAATTACAAGTCTGATTTTCTCATTTATTATTTCTTTGTTTTAATCCTTTGAACTCTTATATGGCAAATTTATGTTTTGAGATGAATAAAAAATTCCAAACTGGGCCTGGTGAGATGGCTCAGTGGTCTGAAGCACCTACTTAGAACAAGCTTAGCAAAGCACAGGGACCGCAGTTCAATCCCCCAGCACCACATGCCAGCCAGCCCCGCCCCCTGGTGGGCTGAGCTGGCCACACACACACACACACACACACATAAATAAATAAATAAATTAAAAAAAAATTCCAAACTATTTTCCAAAATGGCTATGCCATTTTATAGAAACTTTTTAAATTTTCTGATTCTCTGTTGAAATATTCTTCTAGTTAATGTAGTCCATCTCTATCCTTTGTTTTTGATTTAAGTGTGTTATTTTAGAGTCCTTCTCTCTTAACTTTAATACTTGAATCACATTGAGTCTACTTTTGTATGCCTGTTAGAGATGGTGGTAGTTGTCAGACCATTTTATTCAGAATTTGTTTTTGAATTAATAATATATCAAGAAATACAGCAATAACTGCCATTTTATGTTCTTTGATCTCCTTATGTGGGTTCAGTTCACTAGGAAACCTCACTGGAGGGTTCTTGCAGCAGATTTTTGGCAAATGAGCTTGAGTCACGTGTTACACAGCCCCTGGAGTCATTTTCAGAGGGACTCAGCTGGGCTGGAGAGAACCTCTGAGTTTTGAAGTTTACTAGTTAGGAAAATGGAGTAGTGCTTGTTAGGAGAAGAGAGTAGCCAGGGGCAGGAGCTTACCCCAAAGAAAAAGGTGTCTGAAAAGTAGTCACAGATCCTTTTTTAACCTTAAAACACAACATTGATGCATGTGCAGCAGACATTCAGGAAACCAGAGCGGAAGGATTGCAAGTTTGCGGCCACCCTACACAGCTCAGCCTGTCTTCCACACAGCTTCTGCACAGTAGTGCCTAAAGTGAGGTGTGACCAGAGATACCCACATAAACCTCTTCATGATGCGGCCACTCTCCAGAGCCAGTTCTCCTGTGGGTGTCAGGACCAAACTCTGATAGCCTTTATGTCTAGGTCTGTTGGTTGCACAAGCAATTTGGCAAATGTGGTCTTTGTCCTAGTCCCAGAGTGAGTTTGAATGATCACATTGCAACCCTTGATACAAGGAAAAATGGTGCATTGCTGGAAGGCAGAAGGGTTTCCAAACCATAGGCAGAGGGCTTTACAGGAGAGACTCCAAGAGGTTCGTGTCATTGAGGCTGTCAGTGCCTCTGCGGCTATGCTATACAATAGCTCAGGTTTCATCCCCTTGGGATTCGGGATCAGAATACTGATCACATCATCTTTACAAACTCTTCTATCACTCTAGTATTGATTACTTTCCTGCTTCGGCTGTCCATTAATCTTTAATTGTATCCTAGACATTGTGAATGATTACAAAGAGTTTAAGTTCAGTTAAGTTGCTGAAGAGTAACCTTGATTCTGTTGAGATTTCATGTTAAGCAGTGTTAGGAAGAAGTGTTTTTCATCTTTGCACTTGGGCACAGTCACAGGACTTAATGTTGGAGCTGTTCACCTTGGTCTTTCCTTTATCTGGATCAGAGAGTGCTAGCATTTTCTGCTAATGCCTTGCTGGCATCTCTGTCCATTTAACTACTAAGTAGTTCTCTAGGCTCTTGAGAGTCTTGGCCTGCACAGGCCAGGACTGGGGCTGAGGGGAGCGCAGTGCATATCTCTAGGTTATGTCTTGACTAAGCTCCTCTCTAGCACCCCGTTGCCCAAGCCTGCTTCAGCAGCCTTAAACTCTGATCTTTGTTTATCGCTCAAAGAGATAGTGAGACTCTTGTTCTACTTGGACTCTTTTACTTTCTCTGTGGTTTGGAAAATGTCCCCAAGGAAAAGGCAGGGTGACTGCAACGATGACCTTCTGTGCTTTCCTTCACTCAGAGAGGGTCTTCACTCAGAGCTGTATTTTATCCATTGCCTGACAGCTGTTGGTTTTTTTTTTTTTTGTTTTTTTTTTTTGTGGAACCGGGGATTGAACTCAGATCCTTGCATTTGCCAGTCAAGCGCTTATCCTGCTGAGCCATCTCCCCGTCCCCAGCTGTTGGTTTATTTGTCCGATTTTTTTTTTTTATGGAAGGAGAATAAATTTGATATCAGTTACATTATTGTGACCAATACTGGGAACCTCCTGTATTTTCTTTTTAAAATTTGCCAAATGTTTAAGTTAACTAGATTTGATAATATTTATAACTCTGGAATTAAAAGGTTGTAGTGGAATGGTAAGGATCATAAGTTTGCTTTAAATATGTCTTAATTTTCCTAGATATCCCTTAGTGCTCTTACCCAGCTGATGAAAAAGTTGCCCCATTTCCGTAAACAGATTAGTAAGGTAAGTGATGTTGTTTATAATGTGATTTATTTTTAGTTTATTGGTCTGTATAACCCTATAGTTAGGCTTAGCAGTGAATTTCATGGAATGCTTATTAGTTGTCCTCTTAAACTTTGTATCTGAGAAGTGTCCCAAATATCTAAGCTTATAGTAACTTCTCTACATATATTATCTCGTTTTATTCAAATCTAGATTTATTCAAATTCTTAAACTTTTTGATCACTGTTTTACCAGCCTCATAGGACTATTCAATACTACCGTATTGACCAGTGGTTGTTATGCTATATGCTTCTTTAAATTGTTATATATTAACAGATTTAACAGCATTTAAGCTGTGTAGTAATTCTTTTTTTACTTTTGTAGCCTTTTTTTTTTTTTTACAAATCACTATCAATAAACTATACATTTTTATCATGTTGCAATCTAATCAAGAACAAGTAATATTAATGTTGCAAGACTTCTTTTCTTCACCTTATTTTTCATTACTGTCAGGACACATTAAGTGCTTTGCTTTTGTTTTGCTGCCTATTTTATTACCACCTTTCAGTCTTACTCTCGCTTCTTTTCTTGAGCTGGTTCCCTTGCTTACACGAGACCATACTTTCCTTTTAGCCTCTCTGAAATATTTAATATAACCAGTTGCACAAAAATAATTAAAATGCTTTAAATGATCGTGTTCTTTTGTTTTTCAGCAAGTTGTTCATCTTAATTTAGCAGAAGATTGCATGAATAAGTTCAAGCTTAATATAGAAAAGCTCTGCAAAACTGAACAAGTATGTAAGATGTCAGAAATATCTTCATTGATAAGTTTACTAAATGAACTTTGTAAGTTAAAATGTACAGTTTTGCCCATTGCAACTGTTAATTGTAACAGAATTGTAGACTTATATAAGGGGACCTGCCAAGGCAGTATTTAATGTACAGTTGTCCACTATGTTAGTCAGCTTTCTGTTGTTATAACGAAAATCTGAGGTAATAAACTTATAAAAGTTCACTGGTTTGGTTTTTGTTGGTTCCCATTGTTAGTCCTGGGCATCAGGTCCCTTATAGATGCTAAGCATGCACAAGGCTTGTAACTTTGCAGTTGGCCTTGTTGCTTTTAGGCTTATGGTGAGCTAGTGCCTCATGATAGGAGTGTGACAGAATAGAACTGTGCATCACATGGCCGGACAACGAAAGGGACAAGGAGCAAGGGGCAGGGGTGCTCCATCCCCGTCAGGGCACAGCCCCCTGACCTGAAGACCTCCCACAGGCCCACTTGACGCTGCCACCCTCTCCAGAGGGCACCACACTGGGAGTCAGGCCTGTAACTCCTGGGCCTTTAAGGAGCAGCCCGGATCCCAGCTACAGCACCCACCAACGTTAACAGCAGCTGTGTGTGTCTTAATTAGCAGTCCTTCCTCAGCTGTGATGAGCACTTTTTGCTGGTGTGTTTTAAGTTTTGGAACCTTATTTTGGGCTGATGTTGTTGGCAGGGCTTAGTTCCGGAAGTGTAGGGCTGAATGTAGCACCTTGCAGAGTACTGCCGAGGCACACAGTAACTGTTTTCATCCTTTCATGCAACGTCTCTACTGATGAGAGCTTCATGTTCTGACAGAAAGTGTTAGATACAAGTGACACGTCCTCGCTGTTCCAGTGAAGCTGTGCGTGCTTGGCATATGCCTCTAGCTGCTGGGGATGCTGAGGTGTGCCAAGCCAGCCGGTACAGCAGCATAGCCAGACCCTAACTCAGAAAGCAAGAAAATGTATTCTAGAAGACACATTGCAGAGTCCAAGAAAAGTCCAATTTTTTTTTTTTTTTTTTTTTTTGTGGTTCCGGGGATTGAACACTGGACCTTGCGCTTGCCTGGCAAGTACTTATTCTACTGAGCTATCTCCCCGGCCCAAGTCCAATTCTAATAATGTGTTTGACTCACCTGGATGTATCCAAAAAATATTATTTTAGCATGTAATAGTATAAACATTATTAGTGAGATATTTTACACTTTTTTTCATACCAACATTCAAAATCTAATATTATACATCTATAGCACATTTTAATTCAGATTGACCACACTTCAGGTATACAATAGTCATACGTGGGCTGGTGGCCACCATATTGGATAACATTTAGAATTAATGGTTTTTCTTCTCTGATTTTTTGCACTTTTGCATTTTGTACAGTGGCCTACAAGTGATATCCACATTTTCTATGAAATGTTGTCAGAATTCCATTAAAATTTGATGATTTAGGACTGGCCAAATAACTCTGTGGACTGAAGCACCTGCTTAGGCAGAATGTAGGAGCCAGGTTCGATCCCCGGCCTGCTATGCCGGCTCCACCCCTGGGGTGCGCTGAGATGGCTGTTGAGATTGGGTGTGGTGGCCTGCGCTTGTAATCCCAGCATTTGGGAGGCTGAAAACAGGAGAATCATTGTGAGTCTGATCTATGTAGTAAGACTCTGTAGACCTTGTATTAAATACATAAAAAAAGAAAATTTATAAAAATAATTTGATGATTTAATAATAGATATTTTTAAGAGCCAGACATGGAACACACATGTAATCCCAGAACATTGGGAGGCTGAGGCAGGAGGATCATAAGTTCAAGCATGAATAACTTGGTGACTTGGCAAGATCCTATTTCAGAATAAAGTGCCAGGCATGTAGTTGATTGTGAAGACCCTGGACTCAGTGCCCTTTCCCAAAATGGATATTTTTTTCACCCTGGAACCGGGGATTGAACTCAGGCCCTTGCGCTTGCCAGCCAAGCACTTATTCTACTGAGCTATCTCCCTGGCCCCTAAAATGGATATTTTTTAACAAAAAACTTAATTTGATCTTTAGACCACTTACTATTTTGTTTTCATTAAGGACCTGGCACTTGGAACTGATGCAGAAGGACAGAAGGTGAAAGATGCTATGCGAGTACTCCTTCCAGTTCTGCTCGGCAAAAATCATGATAATTGTGACAAAATAAGAGCAATTCTGCTTTATATCTTCAGTATTAATGGTAATGAAGATTTTCATGAGTCACTAAATTACCTAGTTGTAGGGCTGGGGAGATAGCTCAGCACTCTGAGTGCCTGCCTGGCAAGCGCAAGGACCCGGGTTTGATTCCTGGTACCATATACCATGCCTCGTACCGTGCCAGCCCCAAAAGTAGGCATGGTGGTATAATCCCAGCACTGGGGGTGCTGAGGTAGGAGGATCATTACAAGTCTGAGCTCTGTAGCAAGACCCTGTACCAAATAAATGAATTTTTAAAAATACCTAGTTCTAAAATCACTTTTAAATTATTGATTAAAATCTGGTCTTAAGAGAATCTTTGAAAACTTGTATGTGGTGGTTTAAGTCAAAATTAGTTAAGATGCATATGGAATTGAGAGAAGACTGAAGGGGATATGATTGAACTGTTTGCTCTTTTAAAAACTTTCTGAGTACTACAAAAAGTAGAATTGATTGCAGTAGCAATTATGTGATTGTGCGTTGATATTTTTACATATCTAAGGGACCACAGAAGAAAATTTGGACAGGTTGATCCAGAATGTAAAGATAGAAGACGAGAGTGACATGATTCGAAACTGGAGTTACCTTGGTGTTCCCATTGTTCCCCAAGTAAGGAATGTTACATGTTTATGTGTGTGGTTAGCATTAATCATGTGTTTTTATGTGGAAATCCATGTCAATCTTAATATTACCTCATAAATTTTTTATTAAGCAATTAAAAGTTTTTATCTTTTTCATGTATTTTAAATATACTTTAATTTTTTTATTTTTTATTTTTATGTCTGTATAACAATAAGGGTCCACAGGGTCTCACTGCATAGATGGACTCCTAGTGATTCTGTTTTCATCCCCCAAGTGCTGGGATTACAAGTGCGCACCACGACACCCAGTCTCAATTGCTGTCTCAGTGTACTCAGGGTGTGGGGCCCACAAGGCAAGCTGGGAAACAAACCCTGGCCACTGTGCTCTGCCTAAGCAGGAGCTTTAGTCCACTGAGCTATTTGGCCAGCCCTTTAAGTATACTTTTCTTAATGAATTTATATTTTATACCTCCTGTTGTAATTTTCTACGTACACTTTTCTTCTGTGGTTCATTTATAGCAGATACCATATTTTAACATACCATTAACCTTTAGCACACTAAAGAAGATAATTATGTCTTTTGTTTAAAACTATTTAGGTTTAAGCCAGACGCAGTGGTACACACCTGTAATCCTGGCTTTCTGAGAGGCTAAAGTAGTTGGGTCTCAAGTTCAAGTCTAGCCTGGGCAACGTAGTGACTTAGGGAAATTCTGTCTCAAAATTAAAAAAAAAGAAGGGGGGCATTAGAGATGTTTTGCTTAGTGTAATCCCTGGTACTGCCATGGGGGGGAGGGGAAGGCTTATAGTCAAATTTGGAAGAACTCTGTCCAGAATCCCACTCCTCATTGTTTTATGAAATTTTTTTTTGTGGGAGAGGAAGAGAGGGTGCCAGAGATCCAACTCAGGACTTTGTGCTTGCCAAGCAGGTGCTTTTGTCACTGAACTATATCCCCAGCCCTGAAATTTTTTTTTAATAAACATATTTCCTAATGCTATTTAAAGTTTTAACAGTAGTGTACAAAAAGTTCAGTGGAGTCTATGACCACATATATTGTGATTTTTTTTTTTTAAGTAGGTATTTTCACTCTTAGTAGAGTTCAATATCTTTGGTAGGAAACACAACAAAAGATTATATTGGGCTGGCAAGACAGCTCAGCAAGCTTAGGCAAGTACACAGACCAGGTTCAATCCCCAGCACCACAATCCATGCCATGCTGGCCCTGCCCCCAGGTGCTCTGAGCCAGCCACCAAGACCAGGCATGGTGGCACACACCTGTAATCCCAGTGCCAGGGAGGCAGAAAACAGGAGGATCACTATGAGTCCAAGCTGCATAGTAAGACCCTGTACCAAATACACACAAAAAAAAGATTATGTTACTGAGTAAGGTTATGATTTTTAACTTTTTCCTGTCTTAGTCTCAACAAGGCAAGCCAGTAAGAAAGGATCGGTCAGCAGAAGAAACTTTTCAGCTTTCTCGATGGACACCGTTTATCAAAGATATTATGGAGGTAAAAATCATTAAGTTTCTACCTACATGTGAGTGCAATGTCACTCCTGAGCTCACTTGTCAGTGCCCCTTGTGTTCCCAAGCTGTAAATTAGTGGCCTCCACTGTTTCGATCATGTACGCCTGATTATTCAAAATGTGATCTGTGTGTTATATCCATATATATACATATACATATATGCAAGCAGAAATAGAGCTTTGATATTGCCAAAAGCAATGAAATTACAAAATTTAATCTATTCTCACCAGTCTTTCATCACAAAAGGAACATCTCAACTCAGAGAATTTTGCAGATATTGAATCTCAGAATATAAGATTAGCATTTTCAGTTGAATAGGTTTGGATTTGTGGAAACATAGACTATATCATTCTTCATTTTATTCATTTTGCCACAGATTTGTGGAAACTTTTTCCAGGGCAAATACAGGTATTGAAAAAAGAACAAAGAAGCACACACTTAGAAATTACCTGGGTTTTATGCAAACTAAAATGTAAATGACCTCACTTTGCTATCCAGCTAAATATTTTGTACTAGATGTTTCTAAATGAACTGATGTTGTATATTTATGCAAGGGATTTATTTAGGTTAGCTCATGGGGTCCAAGGTGGATAGTCTGTAATGCCCATCCACCTACTGGAAAAACCAAGGGACCAGTAGCTGTTCAGGTCAAAGAGAAGGCCGGGAAGATGGCTCAGTAGAATAAATGCTTGTCTGACAAACACAAGGGCCTGCGTTCAACCCTCAGTTCTGCAAAAAGGAGAAGAAGAAGAAGAAGAAGAAGAAGAAGAA